GAAAGACGAACCACGAACGTGAGAAGCTGGGGAGGGAGGGAGCAGTAGAGGAGGGAGCTGTGTGTGTATGTATGTGTGTGTGTGTGTGCCCGCTTGCGTGTGCTATGGCGCCCTCAGTGCGGCCAGACAACCTTTTCAGCAGTCAGCATGTCAGGCACCTTCTTCAGGGCGAGTGAGGGCGAGGGGCACCAACCCAGAGCACACATACACACATACACCTTCCTTGCCCCTCACTCAACTTCAACCCCACCACCCCTCCATCGCAACCCAACCCAAGTCCCCCTTTTTTGGTGTTTGATTTTAGCAAATAGCAAATTTTAGCAAGCTCCCCTTCCCATTCCCCTTCCGTAGGAGTTTGGAGACCGGCAGGCGGCACTTCACCTCCCTGTCCGACCTGAGCCCCCTCCCACACGGCGCAGCGGCTTCAGAGCCCCTGTCCGAGGCGGAGCGGGAGTTCCTGATCACCCGGCTCACCCCCTACCAGCGCATCCACGCCCTGCACCAGTGCCTGGATAAGGACCAACACACCGCGTGCAAGGACTGGATACCTTGGCCGCTGGTGGGTGATTACTGGGCGGGAGGGGCGTTTTTACCGGGGGAAAGACGGGGTTTTGTAGGTACACGTGTAGGTGTAGTGGTGGGTTGGGGGGTGGTCCCCCACGCACATGCAAAACACACACGACCTCAACACGTTTACCCTCCTGTCCAGCGCTCTCCCTTCCTCCCCCCTCCCTCCCTACCCTCCGGGTACCTGCCCTCGCCCCCGCTAACCCCCTGTCGGCTGTTTGTCCTTTGCATCTCGCATATCATCATCACCATCATCATCACCATCATCATCGCCACCACCACCATCATCATCGCCATCGTACCTACACACCTACACACGCTGCCGCCCCTTTTAGGCGATATTGAATCGGGAGACGCTGGTGGCGGAGCGGGAGGGTCGTAAGGCCCGGCCGCCGAAGTACGAGATGAGCGATTGGAACGGGGGGCAGGCGCAGAGGGACATGCTCATGCGGCTGGCGATTGCGGAGGTAGGGGTGCGTGTGTGTGGGGTGTGTGTGTGTACGTATGTATGTGTATGTGTGCTTGGGGCGGGAGAGAAAGTGGCGCGGGGCCGCGTGGGGCCGCTCTTGAGCCTTGAAACACAGGAGTGCCCCACAAACATAAATCCCAGGTTGCGGGGTGAGCCACAGACCGCCTTTACTCCTGTCTCGCCCGTCTCCGCCCGGCCCTGCCCATCCCTCACCCACTCACTCACTCACCCACCCACTCTCCGAGGTCTCTGGATGTATCCATATGCAGATGCACATTTCTTTCACGTGTGTGTGTGCGTTTGTGTGTATGTGTGTGTAGTTCCCTCCTTTCCCTCCTCTTCCCACACACCCCTGGCACCCCAGCAATATTGTGGAAATAGCTTGCTTCCTTCCGTGCCTTTTCCCTTCCCTTCCCTTCCATGCCCATGTCCATAATGTAACATGTACATGCCGTATGCGCCACACGTCCCGTACATGCCGTACATGACGTACATGCGCATCATGTAATAACATAGTTGGAGTACATGATGCGCCGTCACCTCAAGTTCATGTCGGACCGGGCTTGTAACGCGGCTCGGGCGCCCAGCGCGCTGGAGAAGGACATCCTGCGTCAGGCGTTTTGGCGGGTGGACCCGCAGAGGACCGGAACCGTGTCCATACAGCAGTTCCTGCAGGTGGGGCCGCCCGTGGTGTATGTGTATGTGTGTGCATGTGCATGTGCATGTGTGTTTCGGCGGGGAAAACCCCTCAGGAGCCCCTATCCCCTCCCCCCCCCCGCCCAGCGGGATAGTCCACCTACCGGGGTCCTCCTGGCACTCCCACTCCTTCTATACCCCTTCCCCTTCCTCTCCCAGCCCAACTACACAACACAGGCGCCCGTCCACCACCGATATATAAATTCGGATGGTCGGGGCCCAGGCTGTCCCAGCCGCGCCCAGGGGCACGCACGCAGAGCTCTGCAAAGCCCTGAACCCGCTGCCAGAAGTCGACGGCACCGCACGACGGCTCTCGCGACCACCAGCCCCCGGGGGGGGGGGGGGCTGCTGGGGCCTCGGGCGCGGGGTGTGGACTGCGGGGGGGTTGCGGGACCTGCAGCCCCGCCCGCACACGTTCCCTGGCGGGCAGCGCCGCGAGGCTGATCACGTCCGATACACACACACACACACACTGCTGCACCCCTGCTGATGCTTCTGCGAGCCACATGTTCGCCGGGCGGATATGGGTCCGGGCACGTATCACCGCCGCCTGCGCCACTGGGCACTCCCAGAAGTGGTGTGTGCACGCGGGTAGGGATTGCACTGCAGCGCCTGTCGCTCCTCCGAATCCTCCACAGCCACACGGCTCCACAGTGATGGTGCCCCGCGTGTTGCCGGGGGGGCAGGGGAACGGCGTCGACAGCCGTCGGCACCAGAGAACTAACCCTTTGCACATTGCCATATCGCCGTATTTCCCCCGTATTCCCGCCGTCCCCAGGTGTGGCAGAACGTGTTGCGGCTGATGGAGTACGAGGACAGCTGGGTGAAGAGCAAAGACGTGAAGGGAAAGGTACAACACAAGCAGGTGTGTATCGGTGTGGTGCCGTTTATGTTTTGTGGTTTTCAATCCAACACTGGGCGTGTTTTTGTGTGTCTTCATGCAGCCGCTTTGTGTGTTTTTGTGTGGATGTGACCAACAACACCCCACCCCCTCCGTTACCTCTCAACCCCCACTACTCCCCACTAAATCCCCCCCCACACACACACACGCCTACGTCGCCATGGCCACCAGATTCTGAAGCCCATTCGTACGGTACTTTTGGATCGTAATATGGCCGCCGCGCTATTCGTAAAATACGGCTTTGACAAGGATGGTCTCATGCCGTACGTTGTGTACATCAACGCGCTGTGCGAGACGCCGGCACGGTGGGTTTTGGGTTTCGTACGGCGGGTTGCGGGTGGGGAGTTTTGGCGGGGTGGGCGGGGGCGCGTGATTCGCGGTGGGCGAGGTGCGAGTGAAGGAGTTGAAAGAGGGGGTTGACTGTAGGTAGTCGCAAGAATGGGGGGAGGTCGAGGCGATGGGGTTTGAGTCCGTGCGGGATCTTGGTTTCAATACCCCCCCTCACCCATATATGCAATTTTATACATTTATATGTACGTATACATACACAAAATATACATACACGTATATGTACGCGTAGATATGTGCGTATCTTTTGGCTCGGTAGCTGGATGCTCGTTCGCAATCTAGCCGGCCACGTCGCCGCGATTTGATTACTTCCCAAGCCCGCCACCACTGGTCGGTAATTTCTTACAACATCCTCACGCAGTCTGTATGTATGTTGTTACAGGGTGGTATAGCTTCACCAGCGGCCCCCTTTCTCGAGGCAGTTCCCTGCTCTCCCCTGCTAGAGGGGCACCCTAATCCATTCACCCCATCCGACTTCAGAATGTATTCGTATATGTATATCTGTCTATTACGTCTAGCTAAGGTATCAGCTTTGCTCGTCTGTGGTTCATCTTCCTACCCCCCCCACCAATGGATTAGTGCTTGTTGCATGATGATAGTCATGCTGCTGCTGCTGCTGCTGCTGTTTCTCTTTCCTCACGTATCAGCATCACCACCACCGTCACCACCGTCACCATCACCATCAAGAATTCCTCCCCCTTCCTCCCCCTCCACCCCCTCCACCCCCTCCCCCGACAGACTACTCGGCCACGAGATCGTCCTTAAGAAGAAGGAGCGCGGCAAGAACGGGCTGGAGGACGATCTGGACATTGCCATGTGCCTGGGGAATGCCAAGATTGAGTACCGATATGTGAGCCTGGAGGCCTAGGGGCTACCTCTCTACCTACCTGCCTGTTTTCCAGTGGTGTGTTTTACAGGCCCTCCCGCCTCCCCCCTCGCCCCCCGGCCCCCTCTCCCTGTACGTGTTTTGTACGCCACGCATCCCCCCTCTCCTCTACCACCGCCTC